GTAGTATGTTCTTCAGCCTTAGTTAAGTTGCGGGTAAAGTCAGAATTCACATGTAGACAGAATTACGAATAATTATGCAAATGCGATATAAATACCACACACGGTCATTTCCAAGTAAGTATATCTCTAATCGTGTAACACAATATGATATTTTTCCAATTAAAATGTATCAAAACAAATTTGACGTCAAAGAGTAAAATACGTGTGCTGTTGTGAAACTGATACGAATTACTGGAACTGATATTTGTGTATACAACTACAAAAATATTCTCTTGTATGTTAACTTTACATATCTTTCCTAATAATGTTATTTTAAAAGTGCCATCTTCTAAGTTCGGCGATCAGTAGGACAACTTGCATTCTTGACATCGCGTTTCTAAAATGTGAACGGGTGCTCTTTACAAACTACTGGTATAGGTTTTTAAGCCAGGATATTCTTCTTATACTAATGTTATATAGAGGAAAAAAATTATATGAAAAAAAATAACAAACTCAAAAATCACTGGACGGATTTCCTAAAATCTGTTGCCATTAGAAAGCGATGGCATCAATGAGTAATATAAGTTATTACTAGATTCCTTCAAATAAGATAAGATAATTTATGCTTGTTTGAATTGGTCCTTTAAAATACATACCGATTTATTTTACGCAATCTAAAGTTACAGACTAAACTCTATGCTTTAGGGAATAAGTTTTATGTGTCCTTAAGATTTTGGATTTTCTCTTTATAGAAATACTGAGAATGCGTTTAAATTTAACACTAGCAACTTCTTAAAATTTGTATTAGCGTTTTTATATAAGATCCTTTTTTTATATAACAGAAGGGGGGAAGTCACTAAGTCATAGCTACTAAAGATATTTTCCAGTACTTGTATTATTTAGCAAAATTATCTGCCTTTTTAGACTTTACGATTACTTAGACTTTCACTTTTGAAACATATAAAAACATTTTATTTATGCTATCATTCTCTTATCTTACTTCTTACTAATATTATAAATGCGAAAGTATAGATGGATTGCTGGCTGGATGGATAGATGGATGTTTGTTAGTTTGTTGCCAAAACGACTGAACGGATTTCAATTAAATTTTGTATAGATGTAGTTAGTAATTTTGTATTGATAGTCTGGAAGAATACATAGACTCACTTTTGTTTTTTTTTTAATCCACGCGGACGAAGTCGTGGGCGGAAGCTAGTATGACATAAATGATAATATGTGATAGTAGACATATAAAAAAAAATAACAAAATAAAATTATTCATTGAATTTTCAACGCCACCTGGTGCAAACTGTTCACCTGCGTATCAATAAAGCACCCCAACATTAAACATATCGTTTCTATTAACGACAAATCACGCGGTTCACTGAACAAGCACGCCCTCTGTAACGCTAATTTGTTAACAAAATCGTGTGAAAACCCGCTGCTTGCGACTAACATCGACTGGTCGACCGTGAAAATGCATCTGCCACAACGAAAATCGAATTTTATTTCGATACTTTTTACTTCGAATCATTGAAGCGTAACTTTCGGTTCTTTTTCCTCGTTTCTATTAAAACTTTCTATTTCTTTGTCAAAATAGCCATTATATTAAATTTTTAAATCAACATTTTAGTTAAAGATTCTGCTTGCCATAGTTATTTAAGTATTGGTATCAGTTTTCTGTTTTTCCTTACAAGACTGATATGAGGTTCATCAAAAGTTGTTTAAAGAGGTTCATACTAAGCTTGACCGTAAAAATCTGATGGGTTTAAATTTGTATGTTTAGATGAATGTTTGTTTAACGGTATGTCCTAAATGATTGAATAGATTTCCATGAAATTCGGCATAGACGTTAAACAGTCTGCAAGGACACAAGTTACTTGACAATTTTTTAATTCAGCGCGGACGGAGTCGCGGGCGACAACTAGTATTGTCGATATATATTTCGTGTCAACTTTCTTTGATTTAGTGAGCTATTTTAAATTTTTATACCGTATTTTTATATTCAATTACATTCAAACGACAGGTTATATTACGCGATAAGGTTTTATGAAGTTGTGAATTTATTTATGCGGTACGTTTATCGGTTGTAATTTCTATTTTACATATCGATTATATTATAAATATGTTTATACTAAGTTAAGTGAATAAATAAAATTGTGGACACAATCCAGGTAAGAGACAGTTCTTTTCTGATTTAATTCGAAATTTGCATTTAATATTCTTCTTAAAAAGCAATTAATTATAAAGCAGCAAACCATTTTTACGGTATTTAATCTAGGAACAGATAACATGACAATATGTTTTAGTTTTTTTTTTTAAATAGTGATAATAATAAACATTTAATCAGTTCTAACACATATTGCAACATAATAGTTTGAACAACAATAGTAAATTTATTAGATGAAATAAATGAATCTTACTTTACGCAGTTGTATAAATAAATAACAACAATTATATAACAAAATTCAAAATATACTCGCTTCCTGATAAAAAACAAGTTCAATTTTCCACTTTTAGATCTGTATTTGTCACCAATTTTCTATATATACACTATCAATTATCAAAAAAAGGAACCGAAATTAAAAGGAAAATTAGTCATATAGCCTATGTAAGCCTAGAAACGAACATTGTCTTAATTTTAACAGACCTCTCGGCACCCATTGTTAAGATTTAATAAAAAACTACTGGATATTTTCAAATTTAGAAATAACTAGACCAACAGACACAAACTACCTACAAAAAAAAATGAAATTCGAACAACCAAGCGCTGAGATATGCACTAATTGAGAACCTCCTTTTAGGCTGTCGGTAACAAAACAAATGTCCAACAAAAGCAAACACGGATAAACAATAATGACCCACTAAATATGATTCCACGTAATTAAGACAGCACTGAAACTGTGTAACTATAACATTGTTTCGATAAAATAGTGTATGTCAGTCGTTCACCCCGCACAGCGCACCTTTCACTCGGCCGGTATTCTACAATTGTAGTGCACACTTTGAATTATTTAATACCCACTCTCTGTTGTACATTACTTTCGTAAATCTTAAGAATGTTAAAAACCCAATATAACTCAGTTCTAACTGAAAAACATCCATTGAACTGTACAGTTAAAATTATACCTTACACGTACAGTCTTGACTGAATAGTTCATTTATTCCGTTATTTTACTTTCATCTTAATAAAATTCATACCTCTAGAGTTAAGATCACTTTACGCTTGTATTCCGAGTTCGTTGTATTTTCAGAAGAAATTTTCCGTGTTTAAGCGAACTTTTTTTATAATAAGCTGCTGCTATAAGCTGTTACAGTGCGGCTTCATCCGCATAAAATTATGAAAATTTAATTTTATTGTTTACATGTGTCAAATTATCAATTGCAAATGTCAAAATGACATGACATGAGGACAAATTATGGCAACCTTGCTTCCTTAATATTGGCAGCTTGTAGTTTATTCCCTTTCCCACATGAAGGTTTTTTTCCAATTTATTTATCCCCCAAATTTAATAGCGTAAAAATATATAGCCCAAAGCGTGTCGTAAGTGTAGGGCTGTTTATTAAAATAGAGTTATTCAAAAAATGCTGGAATTGCTTACATCTTAGGCAACAAAGAAGTGTGTGTTTACGCTTTATTATACTAGTATAAATTTTAGAACTTACGGTGACATTTAACTGTACGATATCCGATGTTAAGTGGGAAGGGAATTTAATTCTCTGTCTGTATATATATACATTATTATACATGCAATACATTAACACGTGTATTGTATTCCGCGTAAATCTGTAGTGTTACTTTTATGGTATTCCATGTTACACGTGTTCAATTATTATAATCACGATGCTTGTTTTAATGCATTATTAGTTATTGATTAGAATTATGAAATATTCCACTTTTATATTCATTTACCCGGACTTCACGACTAATAGTTAAACAGGTAGCCAGAAATATCACCTTTATTCCAATATGTCTTCTTATCTATAAGTGAATCTAGTTATAATCTGTATTTTTTTAAATACAATTTTTATTGCCACAAACTGCATAAGGCATTTAATACACAAAACCTTAGAGTTATAAAAAAGGAAATCTGGCAAAAGGTGGCAAGTTCAGCTAATGCAGGGACGGCGCAGGTAACGGTACTGCGCTGGTTTTCAGCTGGCCCCTTTACACATAAGTATTAGGACTTGTACTTGTTGTAAAAAAAAGTAGTACACGTTGAATGAATGTCTCGTAAAGTATTGAAGCTAGAGTTATGAAATTAGCGAGATTTCGATTTATTTTATGGATTAATTAATTTTATTTTATCATGTCAAATAAGGTAAAATTCTAACCTGTGCAGTGGTCATAAATCATTACGTGTTTTCTAACAGTCGACAACAAAGTTACGGTCGAACGCGGCCAGCGTGTGATCACGAGATAGCCCATGGAATGTTTATTTGTGAAGTACGAGATTACCAAATAAATGTACGAGGGTAAATCAAATCCTGCTAATATTATAAATGCAAAATTTAAGATGGATGGATATTTGTTAGCGTTTGTAGCCTAAACGGATGGATAGATCTCGATGAAAGTTTGCAAAGATTTAGAACATAGTCGGGAAGAACATGTGGACTATTTGCTTTTTTTTTTAATTCCTAGTGGATGAAGTCCGTCGTATGAAAGCTAGTTGAATATAATGTGAAGTAGTTAGCTCCCTTTTTTACATCGAACATACATGTGTGTATTTAAATTAAATGTTTTGATACACTTAAATTAATTTTTGTGACAAATTTAATACAAATACTAATATTTTATTAGTAATTGTGAATTAATAATAATAATAATTACAGTTTGCTAAGAAATTATACAGATATACTGAACGAAAATATGTATTACATCAAGCAAATTATTGAAGGAGAAAAAGTTCTTTGGTACTATAGAAGGCTTTCTGGATTAGCCAGGACTTGAGTTTATTTTCAAATTATTTAATTTGTTTTTGAATCATTATTATGCCTTAATAGTGTTTCGTTATGTCTAGGTCCGGGACTGATAGACGAGTTGGAGGCGTTCATGGCCCCCGTCGGCGATGGCTGCTACCCGCCGCAGCCGCTCGACGCGCGCCGACTAGGGTAAGATAAGTTTAAAGAGATATAGTCATTACAGAAACACAAAAATGTTGTTACCTTATACCTTTATTCCGTAGGGGCCACCAACTGCCAGAAAGTCCACCGGACTCCGGATCAGAGAACCCATACAGCCCCTCGGAACCGGGGCACGCAGCGCATACGATAGCCGTTTCACAGACCGCACTAGCGGGCGACTACATGCTTGTGCACGACCATATACCCACACACGAGATCCTACATCAAAACGGCGATTACATATACGAAGAACTCAAATCAGATAACCTGGACCATGAGGTCTTGAGAGGAAATCTTAATGATGTGGTAGTTTTACCTCAAGATCCAAATATAGTGGAACTCGGCATACGTACAGTCCGACATGATTTAGGTTTGGATCAGATCACGTATCAAAACCGCTACAATCAGATGAGAGTGGAAATGCCAGAGTTAGAACAAGGGCTGATCAACCCGCAGCTAGTCACGTTGGGCCATGAAGGAGCCACGCTAACTCCAGTGTATACCAACCTTCAGGAACCCAGCAGTAAGAAAAGAAAACACTCACAGGATATTAAATGTGAGCCAGGTACATGCTTTTATTTAATAAGATTCCAGATTTTTAAACAAATCCGTTACTAGACATATAATAAGTATTTAGCGTTCATAGGGAGTAAACTAAACTTGCACAATCAAATCTAGTTTCCCACTGAGACATCATGATCACTATTAAAAAAGTCTTAGGACCTGTCCCACCAGATTGTAAATTGTCTGATAATCCAACTTCTAAAATATGCGATGGAAATGTCGCATTTTGTTTCGTTATTGGCAGTGACGTCATTTTTAAGCTATCTGAGCCTCTATCAGCCCACTGACTGATCCCACCACTGTGTTATAACCACCCTTAGTTAGTCAATAAATTCTTTCATCGTTACAGCGGCTTTATCTCCAGAGAGCTCAAGCCTCAACCCTCGGCCAGCACCGCCCTCAGTGGACGGCTCAGAGGCAGGTGACGATGTCCCCATGCAGTGTATAAGGTTCGCGCCCTTCCAGCAGTCCACGTGGCACCTACTTTATGACTGCAATCTCAAACCGCTGTAAGTTCATTTATATTCAAGTCGTTAAAGATTTATTATTTTTTTTAACCATAAGTTTTTTCGATTGCTATTTCTTCTGACATTGTTTCAAAATGAAAATAGTTTTAAACTATTAGAATACTTCAAACTAATTTCATAAATTCGAAAGTTTAGATGAATGGATGTTTGTTAGAGTCTGTAGCCTAAACAATTGGACAGATCTGGATGAAATTTGGGATAGATGTAGGGCTTAGTTTGGAAGAACGCATAGTCTACTTGCTTTTGTTTGTTTTTAATTCTACACGGATGGAGTCGCGGGCAAAAGCTAACAAGCTACGTAAAGTGACTAACAGGATAGGTCCAAGATAGTTTGGGTTAGGCGTTTGTCATAATTGTATGATGTTAGAATAATTAAATTTGACAATATACGAGTTTACCAATGTTGTGTCTTTTTATACTTATAATGGTATCTAATTTACTGTTTGATGAATTATCTAATGCTCTTTTTCTATTTTAGACCGAATCCCTCATACGTAGTGGGAGCGGACAAAGGGTTTAACTACTCACAGATCGACGAAGCCTTCGTCTGTCAGAAGAAGAACCACTTCCAAGTCACGTGTCAGATACAAGTGCAAGGCGAAGCACAATACGTCAAGACAACGGAGGGGTTCAAAAAAATTAATAATTTCTGTTTACATTTCTATGGCGTAAAGGTATGTTATTGTTTTGTTTATTTTTTAAACTGTACTGAATTGCGTTTTTCATGTTTTCAGGCATTGGTCTGCTTTTCTTTGGTAATACTAAATTTCACCCGCGACTCCCTCCGCGTGGAATAAATAAAAACAAAAATATGTAGCCTATGTGTTTTTCCGGACTGTCCTCTTCATCTATGCCAAATTTCATCGAGATCCGTTCAGCACTTTGGGCTACAAACTCTAACAAACATTCATCCCTCTAAACTTTCGCATTTATAATATTAGTAAGATATGTTTTTAGGCGGAGGACCCAAGTCAAGAAGTCAGAGTTGAACAAAGTCAATCGGATAGAACAAAGAAACCTTTTCACCCTGTACCGTAAGTATTTAGAATCATTTGATACATATTTCTATATATAAAAAAACTCATCTTAAGCTATTTCATATTTATGTTAAGAGATTCTGTCCTCAACTACTCTTGGTTTTTGTGTATAATCTTTGGAAATCTCATAAACCGCTTATGTGTTTGAGGCATCATTTTATTATGTTAAAAAGGAGCATATGTGTTCTTCCAGACTCCTTTACATATATGCCAAATTTCACGGAGATCCGTTCAGGTGTTTAGGCTACAAACTCTACCAAATTCCCATCTATCTAAACTTTCGCATTTATGATATTAGTAAGAAGTAAGATTGTAATCGCAAATATTTGGTTTATTTATGTCAATTTGATGTATCTTGTAGTGTGGAACTACGTCGTGATTGCGCCAAAGTGACTGTTGGTCGTTTACACTTCGCGGAGACGACCAACAACAACATGCGGAAGAAGGGACGACCAAACCCCGACCAGAGGCACTTCCAGCTTGTGGTGGCGCTGCGAGCGCACGCCGCGCACCTACACTACATGGTCGCCGCGCACGCGAGCGACCGCATCATTGTGCGGGTAAGAACATTTACGACCAGCTCAAATCAAACCCGGCTAATTCCTTTAACTGTTCTTTACAGCCCAAGTGTTGTTAAATGTATCTAAACAACTTTCTTTTCTACATTAGTACTTTTTAACTTAACAAACATTTCATTAACAATCCATCTGTTAAGTTGAGACTGTGTTAAATCTAAGTGTGTACCTAGCTTTACAGTTCTAGTAACAAATGAAGATATAAAATATTCGCTGTAACGCCAATGCGTGGTTCACACTTGGACAATACAATTCAGTAGCGCTTAATGACTGGACTGATTTTGAAGTGCTAGTGTGAACGCTAACTGACACCAGTCCTTAGAATTTATGACTGGCAAGGGCAACTGTACTGGTCAAGTGTAAACCAGGTATAACGTGTGGCTTACACTTGGCCAATACAGTTGGTCAGTAGCTCTCCGATTGGACCGTCAATTGATAGATTGTAAACGCTAATAGGCGCCAATGAGTGTCTTGGCATCGCAACTGTCCAACTGCGTTTGTTGTCTTTGACAGTTAAGTAAGATTATGATGCAAACACAGTTGATTCTCGGATTCCGCAGTTCGAATAAACCAAACCCAAATACAATCCACCCCCTCCGACACTGTATCTAAGTCTGAAGCGGGCATAATGAAAACATTGTCCTAGGCATCAAACCCTGGGCAGTTCGAATCTGACTGCTCTGAAGGATGGTGGCAGCGCGGCGTCTCCGACAACAGCGTGCATTACACCGGCCGTGTCGGCATCAACACTGATCGCCCTGACGAGTCCTGTGTCATCAATGGTAATTTACCTTACTTATTCAAGCCTACCTTCAGTTAGGACGGTTTTTAATATACCACACTGACATATTAGCCCTTTGTCCCTGTATTTTGTTTTATTGCCTAAGAGATTCAATATATAGCGATTAAATATATAGCGGAAACATAGTTGACACTTTATTTGTGACATTTTCACATGATCCTCAAAATCACATGTCAATATTAATAATTTTATTTAATTGAAATGTCAATAGGTCACTAAATGTTTTTTTATTTTTTTTTTATTTTGTGACACTGTTTAGTTTATTACAATCTTGTAAAATATTTTAAAACATGTCAATACGACACGAGATGACATAACAAAATTTGAAAACTTACATAGTACCTTTCAAAGAAGTTACCGGTGAAAAAATGTTGCCTATATCTGGTCTATATATCTTAAATGTCTGTATTGCAGGTAATTTGAAAGTGATGGGTCACATTGTGCACCCGTCAGACGCGCGCGCTAAGCACAACATAGAAGAGTTGGACACAGCACAGCAGTTACGCAATGTGCAGAGCATCAGGGTCGTCAAGTCAGTATACAAATATTTTGTTGCTTTTATTATTATACTAGCTGTTCCCTTGTGGCTTCACTACTCTTTTTTTTATTTTATTCTTTACATTTGTCAAATTATTAATTGCAAATGTCAAAATGACATATCATGAGAAACCTTAGCAATCTTGCTTTCTTGATGTTGGCAGCAATTTATGGCCTTTTTCCCACATTAGGGTTTTTATCTAAAATATTTACCCCCCTAAGTGTAATGTTGTGAAAATATGTAGCCTAAACCTTGACGTTAGTGTAGGGCTTTTAGATAAAGAAAAATTTATTTAAAATATACTGTGATATTTATATATATTTACATACATAGGAGTAAAAAATAAAATTTTAATAATATCAGGTTTAATTACGATCCGTCATTCGCGGAGCACTCTGGTCTGTTGGGGCACGACCCGCGCCGCGCGGCGCCGCACGCGGACACCGGCGTTATTGCGCAGGAGGTCCGCCGCGTCATACCTGAAGCTGTCAAGGAGGCGGGTGACGTCACGCTGCCTAATGGAGACACTATACCCAAGTTCCTCGTCGTCAACAAGGTATAACTACGTTCCCATACTTCTAATCCCATTATCTTATAAATAAAGGAAGGGAAATTCAATTTGATGGTGTAGACGCATCGAAAGGGATATCCTCTTTAACTATCTCTTCTGTCTAATAATGGTGCACGCATCTACAATTGCAGAGCGCCAATTAAATTATATTATACTATCTTTCGGCAGCGACTCCATCCGCGTGGAGTTTAAAAAACAAAAGTGAGTAGACTATGTGTTCTTCCAGACTATCCTCTACATGAATGCCAAATTTCATCGAGATCCGTTCAGTAGTTTAGGCTACAAACTCTAACAAACATCCATCCATGTAAACTTTCGCATTTGTAATATTAGTAAGATTTTAAAAAAATGACATGTTTTGAGGATATATCAATAAATAGTTAGTGTTGATTGTGTGAAAATTTTCAAGTGTTAACTATACCTCATCTGTTTTGAATCTCTTCGGTCAGTATATAGAGACTAGCTGTTGCTCGCGACGTCATCTGCGTGGAATTAAAAAATAATAAAAATATATAGTATATCACTTACTGATATCGTAACTTTTTAGTGGTAAAAGTATTATTTATTTTAAGTATATTTATTTTATAACATACATAAATGTAAATCTTGCTTCTTTATAACATTAACATATTTCTTAGTATTGTTTACCCTTGTTACAGGATCGTATCTTCATGGAAAATCTGGGCGCGGTGAAGGAGCTGTGCAAGGTGACGGGACACCTCGAGTCTCGCATTGAGCAGCTGGAGCGCGTCAGCAAGCGGCTGCACCGCCGGGACAGTGCTAGATCCAGTCTCAGTAATGGTATTTATTATCTAATATTTTAGTACTAGGTTTCACCGACGATTCCTCTCGCGTGGTATTAACACAAACAAGAGTAAGTAGCCTATGTGTTTTTCTAGATTTTCCTTTATTTCTATGCCAAATTTCATCTAAATCCGTTCAGCTGTTTAGGCTACATAACTCTAACAAACATCCATCCATCTAAAATTTAGCTTTTAATGTTAGTAAGATTTTCCATGGCATTTTTATTGTCAAAAACGTATATTTATCGATTTTTAAACATTAACTTCAATTGAATTAAGAAGTCACTAGAAAGGAAAGATAACTTTTCATTAAATTATTTCAATTCCAGATTCTCGTTTCTCCGGATTATCGACATCTTCAAAATCCTTTTACAGCGACGGCAACATATCTATAGATCAAATACGAGACATCGCGAGAAACATCCGTAAACACGAGTGTTGCCACAAACTGAGCCACAATTCACCCAAATATACAAGAAAGCAATGCAAGAATTGCCACAACTACACTAAATACGGGAAATATTACAATTATAATAAAACATGTGTCAGATATTCTAATAAGAGTGATAAAGTCGAAAGTACCGATTATCCGACTTACGTGAGTTCTCTAGAATCGGATACACCAAAACCTGATGAAACTTACAGCGTTGTATCGAAACAGAAAGATTCTTGTCTATGGTTAAGAGATGAAGACAGTTTGGCACACAACAGCAAACTGGCTTTCTGCTGCCGAAGGAAGGATAGATTCGGTGATGCCAGTAGTGAATTAATATCGAATACATTCTTGCAAATCGTAATTACGATACTAATTTTTATAATGGCTATATGGTGAGTTAAAAACATCAATTTACATAACAAAATCTCTCACTAGATGCTCGGTTTACACATGGCCAGTACAGTTGGCCTGTTTCCAGTTAAAAATAATATAAACTGCGCCTACACTATGCTAGTTGATTACTATTCCAGTTATTCAGTGCTACTAACTGTATTGACCAAGTGTGTACTCGCATTAGTTTTACAAAAGATACAAAGTGAATTACGGAGCTGTATGACCGCTACTAGTTCATTCACTTGCCCTCATCCCTATGGAGGGTCGGCACAGTATGTCTTCCATATATTTCTATCAGCTCTTTTATTTGAATTCACTTCTTACTTAAGCATATAAAGCAATACAAGATTAAAAGAATAGTGTTTGCTGTATGTGCCTAAATAATAATTAAATAAAAAAAAACATGTATCTTGTATATGGTTGTACTGTTTGTTTTTGTATGTGTATCGTGTAAACCTATAATTAGGACAAATTATCTGCATATTACTTATTGTATTGTGTAAAAATATATATCTATGGCTTTATCCCGTTTATTTATCTCAATAAATATTTGACATTTATTTCGATTCCTTCTTGGGAATGGTCTTCTCGTCTTCAAAGTCAAGTTCATTTTAATACTAAATTAGTTATTAAAATGTCTCAATTCCAGCCTGGTGGTGATGACCGCGCTGTACTTCCGCGAGCACCAGGAGCTGCTGTCGATGAAGGAGATCCGGCTGCAGGAGAAGTTCTCCAACTACCCGCACTACGGCAAGTTCAACGTGAACGGCGGCCCCGCGCACCGCGCCGCCCCGCCGGACCACAACCAGATACAAGTCAGTTATATTACTTATTTACTAGCTTGCGCCCGCGACTCCGCCCACGTGGAATTAAAGAAAACAAAAGAACAGCCATAATAAAATTCATCGAGATCCGTTCAGCAGTTTAGACTAAAAACTCTAACAAACATCCATTCATTTAATCTTTTCGTATTCACAATAGTATGATTTATTGGAAAAGGTACGCACACTGTCCCTGTCCCTCTAATTTAAAACTAAACATCTTCTTTTTCCTTGCAGAATTTAAAACCTTCACAACACGTCGCTGCAAAGAAAAGTGTTAAAGGTAAGCAAGTTATTGTAAGATAATTATCTAACTTAAGCATCTAAAGTAGAAGAAAAAATACAAATAAACTATGTACATATGTATGTATAATAACCACTTTAATCTATACTATATATCTATATTATAATTTATAATTTATAATATTATAATAAAGCATAAACACACATTTCTTTGTTGCCTAAGATGTCAGCAATTAAACCCTAATGTGGAAAAGAGACCCTAAGTTGCTGCCAACATCAAGGAAGCAAGGTTGCCATGGTTTGTCATAATGTCATGTCACTTTAAAATTTGCAATTGATAATTTGACAAATCTAAATAATAAAATAAAATTTTCATAATTTCATGCGAATGAAGTCGCACGGGAACAGCTAGTTGTTAATAAAAAAAATCTATTGGCTATATTACATTGACAATGAATTGTGCAGAGAAAGGACCTCACAAGAGCACGGTGGAGTACACGACGAGCACGCCCGCCGACAGCGCGCACTCCACCGCCGCCGCGCTGCACGCCTCCAGGAACTACGTCAGGAATGTCCTCAGTAAGTTATTACTATGTATTACATTGTCCGAAATGTCTGTTTAATCTGAACGGAACCTGTATTAGTTCTCTGTGTATTACTGATGTTTGTCTTTTTATAATTCTTCGCCTGGCCTAGGGACAAGTTCCTAGTTATTATGCATTTTTGAAAAGCTAAAAAAAAAGACATGTTTTTAAAACAAACCGCAGATTCCTTCCATGACAATTTATTTCGTTTTTAATGCATTTCAGTGGATGAGAATCTCGAAAAATATTGAAGTAAAATGGCTGTTTAGCACGCATTTTTTTTTTAATTTGGACAGATAAATGATGTTTTTATATTGTAAAATAATCAGTGTTTAATTTTTATAAATCCGAAGAAAAAATTAAATTATCTTGGACAGTTCTTTTTTAAATAAATTTTTGAAGTTGTAATTTCGACTTATTTTGAAAAAATCGAAAAATCCAGATTACTATAGGGGTCAAAATTATCACAAATGACCCCTCTATTACCTCCTAACGGGAATACGTCTAACTGATTTGGACCTTTTAGATATGGAGCAGCTAGCGGCGCCATTACGCGCCGAGCGGCCGGCGGTGACGCGCGTGGCGGACGTTGTCGGCGGCGGCTGCGCGTACACTCTAAATGCTGACAACGAACTGGACGCTGAATGTCAGGTATCACCTCATTACACATACACGGAAGGTTTTTTACACCCGGGAACTCCGTCAAGGGTATTTATTGTACAATCAAGAAAATTAGCGGTGTTCCATCTTAAAAGATACAATCGTTTGAACATTTCGAAAAGACAGAAAATCAAAACAACGCAGCTTATCTCAACAAAAATATCTAGTTAATATCAAGCTTTTAACTTGATATTTTAAATCAAATTAAAAAATATATACGTGTACTCTATACTGTGTTTACCAATGGGGATAATTAGTATAATAAAAAAAATCGTTTTCGTGATAGGCTTTTTTTTGTCTTCTAACTTGAAGATTATCAAAGATATAAACAGCCTAATATTCAAATAAAATCAATTATAGGTGCCCAATGCGATTTATAACCCCGGTGTCGAAATTGAAAATTCAAGTCATTTATTCAAATAAAGGTTGTATTGTATGTACGGCTAGTTTCTTTTTATTATCATTTTCTCTTAATTTGTACCACTCACTGCTATCTAGTTATTTGTAGAAAGATGCTGAGTTTATCTCCTTGCAATGAACAAGGCGAAGTATATTTAAGCGGAACATCGCGTATTTCCGCGACTGTACGTAATAATAAAACATCTGAGTGGTCAAATAGAAAGTGACTTCATATTTTAAACTCTATTTTGATAAAAGGTAACGTTGTTATAAGCAAACTGTCTGTCGAAATCTTGTAATTGAGGTGTCTATGTTTTGTATTTATTATCATTTCTGCATAAATGTAATGAAAACATGTAATTTAACTCATGCTGCTAAAGATTGTCGAGGATATATCGAGATGGATCGTCTCTTTATTGGTAAGGTGAATTATTCTCTTTCAAATATTCTCTAACGTTTAAAAAATAATATTTTTTATTAATATTTCAGTTCTCTATGAAACCGCTTTAAATACCTTTGTGTATTTAGCTAACATATTTAATATTATTTTCTAGTCTTGCGGACTTGAACCACCTCAGACATTTGAAAATCCAGAACCCTTAGAACGCTCAAACCCTGAGAAAGACCTAAATGAGACCTATACCAGAAATTTAGACCAGACTTTAAAAGAAATACCGAGCATCCCAGTGATATTAGAGAAGAATAATTCTGATGCGTTGAAGAACGAAAACGATTCACTTCGGAATCAGATACATGAGGAGATATTGGCTGAATCTAATTTATTAGATCCTAACAAGCAGAATGGTACAGAAGTTAGGATGAAAAGAGAACTTCGTCATAGGGACCCGAGAGGCCGGCGCGAGGTTCGGGAGACGAATGAAGCGTTACTAAGAAGTAGTTCTGAAGAGATGACCTTGACGGAACAATCTGATGAAGTTCCACTATCTCAAGGTCAGTAAAAATATAATTAAAAATATAATCTTACTAATATTATAAATGCGAAAGTTTAGATGGATGGATGGATGTTTTTAGAGTTTGTAGCCTAAACGGTTGAACGGATTTCGATGAAATTTGGTGTAGATATAGATGATGCACTTTTGTTTTTATTTTTTATTTCCCCTCGGATGGAGTCGCAGGCGAAAGCTAGTAGCGAAAGAATTTTTGAAATTGGCCTGATAGTTTTTGAGTTATTTTAATACATAAAAAAATTAAAAAATGTTTACTCTTTATAATATTAGAATAGATGAAAGATGTGTTATATAATGGTGGTGTATGCGGTGTCGGCAGAGTGCGAGAGCGTGTCCGTGGGCGTGTGGACGGCGACGGGCGCGGCGAACACCTCGCTGTTCTCCGAGGCGGTGTGTGCGCGCGCGCTGCACAACTTCACGTACGGCGTGCCGCTCTCGCACTGCCTGCACCACAAGGAGCTCGCCATCACCTTCCGGTGAGCCTCACACTTTTCCCTACGTACTAAGAGGGGGGACAGCTGTCCCCTCTTAGTACGAAACAGTCGAAAAGCCGTCATCCCCCCACCTTGTCCTACTCCCGTAGTGTCAACGCAACGGGTTTTCGTCCTGCAAATAACTAGGGTTGTAACGGAACTCCGCTTCCCCATACGCAAAAAATGATAACTCCGCATCAATAAATCATTTAATAAATGCATACAAAATGACAACTCTGCATCTATAAATCATTCAATATAAACATTTAATAAATCGCAATTAATATTTTATTATTGACCTCCGCTTCTGCAGAGGTGAAGCCCTTCGCCTCCGCATCCGCATCCGCTTCCGTTAAAATGGCCTTCGCTATAACCCTACAAATAACTATCATCCGTCATCTCAGTCACTCCCTTCTTGATCATGTCAATTACGCAATCTTTCTCTTTCTACGTCTACCTCCTCCGATGTACCACACTCATAACTAAGAAATAAATATGTAAATGTCTACAATCTTCAGAGACCCACATAGATAACTATATAACAACTTCTCATTTTTTATTAAAACATTAAACCATTTACCTTAGAAAAAAAAGTATTTGTAATCCTACCGAGGAAGGGCCCTATGATGATCATCACCCTCGACTAGATCTTCGCCTGGGGTAGCCTATAACTATATATTTTTTTATTTTGATTACAATTAACTATATATTTCCAACACTAGATCAACAAATATTAATTATCAATTTCTTTTAACAAATAACTCCATATTAAAGGACGACAAAACTGAAAGAAGTACGTCTCTGCGAGTTGTACTGTAAGTACGACACCATCAAGAACTGCCAGCTGAGCAGGGAGATCGCCAAGCCGCTGCCCAGCGGAGACACCTGGACCTCCAAGATGAACCTGGACTGCAACATGGACAGGCATATGAAGATACGAGCTGCTTTCGCACCTTTAAAGGTAAAAGAAAGAGACAACTAGCTGTTGCTCGCTTGTGGTATAAGAAACGGTATTTCGTTCTGAAGTTTAAAGCGCCAATAGCCTAATGGTTTCAGGTGTGACTACCTAACTTGTAGTCGAGGGTTCGAATCTCGACTTTAACTATTGTCGTGAAACATATCCTAGCACAAGTTTTGTTGGAAAATGGTTAAAGAAAATATTAGTAAATTAACAAAAAATCTACTGAGATTTTATAAATAAAAAAAAGTCATCAAAAAAAATCACGCAAAATATAGATAGGAGCTTCATTAATTTCATTATAGTATTTCCTGATAACATACTATCCATACTTACATCCATTCAAACATTCATACTTTAGTACCCCGTCTACGTTAAATAAATGACAGATTTTTAAACTAGCTTTCACCCGCAACTACGTCCGGGGGGAATTAAAAAAAATATATAGTCTATGTATTATTTAAATTTTCTTTTTTCTTTAAATTTTCTTTTTTCTTTTTTCTTTTGATTTCTTCATTGTTTTGAATATCCTTTATTTACTGTGTTTAGTTATTAAGAACTCATTACATTTCTAGCGCATC